CTAGGAAACGTTTTCTGGGAAATCTGCCTGGGCTCGTTTACCTTCAATTGTCAGTGCATTTCATCAGGAGAAGAAAACTGTTCAGATAAAGGGTCAGATCTGCCAGTTTCTATTAGAACTGAATAAATACTTTAAAAGCTCAGCTGATCATCATTTCTTGAATTTCAGAGTTATACAGAAGATGATTTTGGAATCTATTTGTGTAATAGCCCCTGCTTTGGAGCGTAGATGTTTCCTGGGTAATGAGAACAAATTATTGTAAAACATCAGTGCCTCTTCAAAGGATAACAGACTAAGATGAAATTCTGACCTCCTTTCGCTTTGGGAATGTGGCTTATGAAACTGTCTTAAATTCTACCTTAAAGGTTGAGTCCGTGAGGACTCCAGAAATGCTGGTGAGAAATTCCTTGCCTCAGTTCTTTCCCACCCGTAGATACTAACAAGAGAGGGGATTGGCCCATATGGCTTGCATTTCTCATTCTGCACTAGCAAAGACACCTGGACAGTTAACACCTGAAGTTTACTTTGCAGGACTCTGTTGTGAGCAGGACTTTTCAAGAATGAAGGAAAATTTGCCTTCTCACTACCTACCAGAAGCACTTCCAGAAGAAAAAGTTCCAGCCTTCCTCCCACATACAGAAGTGAATAAGATGTGAGTTTGGCAAAGAACAGGCGTTATTCCTACCCACTCCCAAGAGAAAACACTGCTTTTTTCATGATATAAATTTCCCAATTTATTTCCCAAAGAAGAGGAACTCAAAGTAATCACTCTTTCCACCTCCTTGACCCCAAAAGATCTCCCAATTAACAAAGCATTAATTCCCTTCTTGTATTATAATGTGATTGTAAATACTGATAAAATGGTATTACAGACAAAATATGTGAGGGTAGCAAAGCACTTGCTAGCCAGTATTTGGCACAGTATTATTTCTTAGTGAAAATCTATTTTGTAATCGTAACTTATATATATATAAATCTTGATTTATTTTTTTTAAGAGCCTAAATTTGAATATGCTTACTGTTGAGCTAGGTGAAAAGATTCTTTAATATACTGCTGCAGTACTGTCTTAGCTCCCAAACCTACTGCTACAGAATTGTATTTGTATATTAAATGACTGGCATTTATTTTTATCATTGGTCTGTAGATAATTTTTTTAGCTTATCTTGCACTGTAAATTGTCCTTGTTACAAGAGTGATTCTAGTCTGATTTACAGTCCTAACTTTGCTGTCATCCCACAGAGATCTGGCATTCACACTTCTTTATATTCAGCAGTTCTTACATCAGGAATGTTGAATTACGAAGTTGAGAGAATTAGTTTTTTTTTCTAAAGAAAAGCTTTCAGGAACTCTTGGAAGGGATCTGGAGGAGGGCCACTAAGATGATCAGAGGGCTGGAGCACCTATGAAGAAACGCTGAGGGAAGTGGGTTTGTTTAGCTTGGAGAAGGCTACTGGGGGACCTCATTATGGCCTTCCAGTACTTGAAGCGAGAGTATAAGCAGGAGGGGAACGGCTGTTTACGAGGGTGAATAGTGATAGGACAAGGGGGAATGGTTTAAAACTGAGATAGGGGAGGTTTAGGTTAGATATTAGGAGGAAGTTTTTCACACAGAGGGTGGTTACACACTGGAACAGGTTGCCCAAGGAGGTTGTGGATGCCCCATCCCTGCAGGCATTCAAGGCCAGGCTGGATGTGGCTCTGGGCAGCCTGGTCTGGTGGCTGGCAACCCTGCACATAGCAGGGGGGTTGAAACTAGGGGATCTTTGAGGTCCTTTTCAACACAGGCCATTTTATGATTCTATTATAATTAAGCCTACTTCATTTTGTTCATCCCATTTCTTCCCATTATTTTTGAGTTCCATATTTCATTGCTGACAGGATGAGAAATATCTGGGATATGTGATATTAACACAGTAGTAAAAGAAAGAATGCATAAATTCAGAAGAATGGGTATGAGTAGAAGGCAAACACAAGGTATGTCAGTATTACAGCTTCTTTTAATAAAATGATTTTAATTGAGATAAATAGTGATGAAATTTTTTTTTCTTTATTGCAGTTTTATAACGATTTCAGAGCTTTTTGTGTTTCAGGTTTTTGGAGTTGTGCTAGATTAAAAAAAAATATGTATATCTTCATGTACAAACAGTTTTAAACTTGTATTCAAGAACACCTGTAGGTTTTCAAGGAGAAAACTTGAAAATAGACATTGCATGAGTATGGAAAATGCATGAGTAAATCGAGTGTGCTTTTGTGTATATTGAAAGATATCAGTCTATATTGTATTTAAGTTCCTGCTCATGGATAAAAGAACTTCTGCGATCTCATCTCATTTTAATTAATTCAGAGAAAGGAATCTTTTGAAAAATCTCTCTTTGCAGCAGCTAAGTTTCTTTTTTATCATTTGACAAGAAATTTTTATTTTTAGAAGTGAAAAAAAATAAAGAAGGAGTAAATATATGCAGAAGTATTCAGGAGCCAAATTTTCTGGGGGAGGCAGATGAAGATCCAAGTCAATGGGTTCTTCTCATTCCTTTTTTTAGAGCTTTTTTCACTTCAGTCATTCCCAGACTGTGGTTTGTGGAGAGTTATTAAAAAGGAAAATTCAGTTTGTTTTCACTTGGAAGCTTGATCATAATGATGTGGTAATCTTAGAGAAAACAATCTGTTTTTGTTTCAAAAAAATTTAAGATTGTTTTCACAAGTCAGAATTTGGAGAATATATCCACCGGCTGTGCTTCATTTCACTTGTGAGTGATCTGGGTACAGTGTGCAAATGCCCTCTGAAAGATCCCACTCAAACTAAGAGACGAACAGTTCTTAAGATTATCAGCCAGAAGCAAGGACATTATGCCTTTATTTTACAATTCTCGCCCTTGTATTAGCTTCTCTTTGGTCTTCAACAGTCTACTTTACGTCAACCATTTCAGGAACAAGAAGCCAGGAAATCTCTTGATTTGGGCTCTTAATTCATGCTGGCAGCATTTGAGTGTGGACTTGCAAAAGAAGTCTCACGTGTCAGCAGTGGAGTTTTGAAACGGTGTAAGTGCTGTGTGGAGGCAGTAGTTGGACTTAATGATCCTTGTGGGTCCCTTCCAACTCAGGATCTTCTATGATTCTGTAATTTTTTAGCCCTATGAAAGTGTAGTAGTCACCCATCTAAAAAAAAAAAAAAAAAAAAAGGGATGGAATTTTCAAATACTAATGAATCATTTGCTCTCGTGGTTAGGTTCCTGCCTGTCAGGTTATAAGGTTATAATACATTATCTGTCTGTGTATTTGTTAGCCCTGAATTCCATACATTCATGTCAGATTGTTAAAGTCTTATTCAGATATGAAGGTCCTGGCAGCGTTGGTCATGTTTATCAACTGTACTGGGAATGGAGGAGAGCCAGTAGAGCCTACTTTTCAATTCTACATCTATCCTCTGTGATCTGATTGTCCTTACATGTGTGCTCCCTCAGACATGCAGTGAAAAGGACATAAAGGATTTATGAAATATTTCTGAGGAGGGGAAAGTGCAATAAAAGGGTTAACTTCAGTATTATGGAAAGGTACCTATAGAAGATCGGCTTCATTACTTTCCTCATTAATATTATTTTTGTAACTGGAATCTGATTTGAGATTTAAATTGTACAAATTGTCTCTTATTAGACAACAGTGCTGGAATAGTACACTGTGAATTAAGACTAGATGAGTCAAGCTATGTGTGCTCTGATTCAGAACTGCATGTCTTCAGCCGGTGTTTACAACTTCCCTTACAATTTTCATTGTGCTTCCTTATTTCTCCCTTGTTCTAACTTGTTTTAGCACAGTTAACCGTTCCTTTTGTGTAACATCCTTACTATTTTGCTGGGATGAGGCACCCATGTGCTCACCATGTGCCGCATGACTCTTACTGCCTCATGCTGTCAGGTGATGGCAGAGACAGCTCAGCACCGACAGGGATGAAGGAGAACTGCAGAGGGACCCACTTCCTGGCAGCAAGAGTACCTCTAGGACAATTTTCTTTGCACGTGAAACTTGTGAAATAGCCTAGCCAAGTTCTGCAGTGAGCATAGTTTGCTCCTGACTTTTGCAATTTAGTATTTTTGGGACAGTATCACTCAGAAGGTAGCTGAACGGTCCCATGTTTTTAGTGGATATACTCCAAGTGTTACAAGCATTGCAGCACCTCCCTTACAGGGACAGGCTGAAAGAGCTGGGGCTCTTCAGCTTGGAGAAGAGAAAGCTCCAAGGAGACCTTATAGCAGCCTTCAGTACCTAAAGGGGCCTACAGGAAAGCTGGGGAGGGACTTTTTATAAGGGCACTTAGTGACAGCATGAGGGGAAATGGCTGTAAACTGGTAGAGGGTAGATTTAGACTAGATATCAGGAAGAAATTCTTTACTGTGAGGGTGGTGAGACACTGGAACAGGTTGCCCAGTGAGGCTGTGGATGCCCCCTCCATGGAAGCGTTCAAGGCCAGGCTTTGAGCAACCTGGTCTAGAGGGAGGTGTCCCTGCCTATGGCAGGGGTTGGAACCAGATGATCCTTAGGGTCCTTTCCAACCCGAACCATTCTTACGATCTAGTTTTCTCACTCTCTTTCTTTGCTGAAACCGCAGCAGAGGTTTGCTGCAGGTTTCAAACCTGTCAACACCCGAATGCGTGACACCAGCTCCCAGCACACGTGAAGGAGCTGAGGGGCACGGTAACACACAGCAGGGGGAGAAGTGCTGCAGCACAGAAAACTTTTCCGTAAACTTCACTTTGAAGTTGAGCAAAGCTGTTATCGAGGAGCTAGCAAACAAGGCGACAGGGATTTGGACTTCACGAGCCTGCCGCGAAGCCAAGAGGCGTCAGAGCACGAGAGGGACGAGCGCGCACAGCGCGGCCCAGCACAGCCGCGCCGCCCCCGCGCCGGGGCAGCCCGCGCGCAGCAGACACCCGCCGCGTGACGGGCGGCCCGAGCCGCCTCCGAGCAGGAAGTGCTGCGTGCCGGTGCCGCCGCGCGCCCTGCCTCCCCCGGGCCGGCCAGTTCCGCCGGGCGCGGCAGCATGGCTGGGCTCGGGCCCGCCGCGCTGCCGCTGCTGCTGGGCGCGCTGCTGCTGCCCGGCCTGCCCGCGGAGCACGTCCCCGCGCTGCTGTGGTCCACGGGCAGGTAGGAGAGCGAGAGGAGGGACCCTGCCGCTCTGCGTGCGTGCGGCCGCGGGGGAAGCGTTTCTACTTGACCGCCTGTGGGTGAGAGCCGCCGGCAGCGAACCGAGCCGGGGAATCGATGTGCCTCCGGGCACGCTACCTAACGGGACGGTTTGCCCGGTTTTATCTGTGATGTCGGTGTTCTGAACCGGGCGGTAAGCCCCACATTACTCAGCTCTGAAGTGGCCGGGCTTTATTCACCCGAGGCACGCCGAGCGCTGCTGCAGCTCTGCTGGCTTCCAGGCGTAGCGCGGGGCAGCCTCGCGGAGGAGCTGGCCAGGGGCTGCGGGCCGGGCTCACGCCTCCGGCTCCTCCACCGTGGCTTTTCTCTTCAGTTGTTCTCCTTCTTTCTTTTCCTTTCTTTCTTTCTTTTTCTTTTCTTTCTTTCTTTTTTTTTTTTTTTTTTTAATTTTAAATGCAGTTCTTTCTTTAATAGGAAGAGCTCCTTTGTGCATAGGCTTCACTTGTTAGGAATAACTGAGCGTTATCTGATTTGCAAACCCTCCAATGGAGAGCTCCTGCCCTCTGCACCACGTGTGTTATACCCGGTTCAGCAGCAGGCCTTCTCACAGCTGGGCTCTTACTCATTTCTCTAATACGCACAGTCAGAATGTGGCACACTCCAGCCAGGGGTTCAACCCTATGTACACTTCGGATTTACCCTACTGTAAAGCAAGAAGGGAATCCATCAATGGTTTATTGGTGATAAGCACCCTTTCAGCTGCTAGGGCCGCGCTCACTGCCTTTCAGGAGACTTTGAGCTGCTGAAGATGTTGAAGCGCAGTGATCTATCTAAGTGCCACCAGGCAGACGGGCTGAATGCTGCTGTCATGCATCTCAGCATACATCTCGTGTCTGTGGGCAAGATTACTGAAATTAAGGTCTCAGAGCTAAATCCTGCTGTGCTGTTGGGGTTGTGTTGCTGCTGTTGTTTTCTAGTTCTTAATGCAGTAGTTTTAAGACAGCAAAAGAAGAAATCTTATGGCCATTAGCAGTTATGCTGTTTAAGTTCTTCAGGGGATTCTTCTCCACGAATAGTGCCGTACAGACAAGCATGGTACTCTTTTTTATTCATGCTGATAGACGCTGATAAATTGCACTTGAAGACATATAGGAAGGAGGTGCTTGTTGGGTTTCTTTTATATGTATCCTGGGCATTGTATTCTTTTCTCAGCGGTAATGAATACCAACTTTGATGTATGTCTGCCCATGTCTTAGAAGTTTCCAGAGTGTTCTTAAGCACTTCCTCTGGCCCAAGGCAGCCACAGCATACAAGAACCCAAAGACATTACCTTTTCAGTGAGTTTGATTAGGCAACTGACCCATTCCATACCCCACACCCCCAAAAGAAATAAACAGATATTTCCACATTAAGGTCTTTTGTATTCAAAATACTTACTCTGTTCACCTTGGTATAACTGAGTAACGCAAGCTACCTCTATATTTAAAAACAAAGTTAGTGTTGGAGTTGTTCTTAGGATAGAAGGGATCTTGAGAGTCTCAGAAAAGACCAGTGCTGCCTTTGGCCTAGTTTGTATAAATAATACACATGTTGTTGGTATAAGCAGTGTCCCAGGGAGATCATAAAACAAACTTTCCACCAAGATGCAATTAGCAACTTGCTCTACTGCGGATTGTTCAGGTCTATACAAATATAGAGCAAGAAAATCAGGATGGTGGACTGTTTAAACCAGTTTTGTGTTTCCATCAATAGAAGAAGTGTTCCTCCTCCTATGACCTTTGTGTTTTTAAAAGGGGAAATTTTTGAGAGGGAAAAAATCGTTCTTGTGAAATCCTCTGAAGTTACAGGAAAGGAGATTTATGTTAGTTTATAAAATAAAGAGACAGCAACAGGAACTTCTGTTTGCATCTTGGTGTTTGGTGGCAATGTGTGGTTTTCAGTGGGTGTTCTACAGCCCTCTGCAATGTGGGAGCTACTGTTGAGAGTTTCAGGAAGGGTGACTGTGTAGAAGTACAGTAATTATCAGTGGATTTCTTTTCACTTTGTGAAAAAATCCCTCCAATTTAAAACTTCAGTTTTGTTCATTGCCAGATAGGAGTTGAGATGCACCCATCTGTTCCATCACCATCTCCTGGGTTAACTGTCAGGATACCATACTGAATCCTTGAGGGGTAATACAGTGTTTGTAAAATGGTATCTTTGAAGAGCTGCATTAGAAGAATGTGACGTTTTAAAATCTCTCATGTGTTATTGTACTGTGATCATGCTACTCAAGGTTAATATTAGATAACAGATGCAGAGGTGTTTTTTTTTTTGGTTTCTTTTTTTTTTGGTACCAAACAGCAATCTTTCCCCATTGCACCCAGAAGGATGAAGGGAATAAGACAGTAGGTCACAGTGTCCTGCTTTTTACAAAGAGATACCAAATTATCAGTGGACATTTTCCAAAATAACTTTGCCCTGGGAAAATTAGTGTTATCTTAAATCAGACTTTAAGCTGAAACCGTTAATGTTGCTGCTTCCCAGAGCAGGAGGGATGGAGGGAGGTTCCTCTTACATGTGATTCAGAACGGAAACATGATTTAGCCATTTTGAAACAATATTCAAAAGAATTTCTTTCTCTCCACAGATTAGAGAGAGCCTGAGGAAATAAACTCATTAAAAGTAGCTTCTGTGATTGCCCTTCATGTGTCTCTTTTAGACTGTTATTTGCTTGTAGTCACTGAGAATTTATTACTACCTTCATTTATGCTGTGCTGTGAATCTTTTTCTGGTAAATCCAGATTACAAGTGATTTTGAGAAAGTGCTGGTGCCAAATGGGACATATGCCATGTTTCCTAAAGCTGCAAGGAATTTACTGAAAAATCTTGCTGGGAGGAGGTGTAGTTTAGAAAGGAGATGTGAAAACAGAAAATTATTTTAGCTGTAAGTTTTCTAGAGTTCTGTGCAGATGCTCTGAGCCTATTTGTTTGCTTGAGGAGCCCTTCGGATTAATTTTTTCCTGTAGTCACCAGTTGTCACTGTAGCGGTGCTGTTAGGAATGGTGAGCTTTTTGTGTAGATGATCATTTCCAGAATTCTACTAATAAGCTTACTGACTTCTTCTGTGCAGGGGAAAGCGTTATTTCTTATGTGGTAATGTAGTGTGGTAATAGTGGCTAAAAGAGACAACAGACAGGAGTAACTTGTAGGCAGGAGTTCAGAATGCAGCTGCAGGGTAAGTGCGTACCAGTGACAGCAGGCCTGAATGAGGAAGCTTGTTTATCATCTGTCCTCTTGAAGGTCCAGATAGAAGAATTCTTGAAATCTTTGCTTCCTCTTCTACCTAGGAGGAAGACAGATCAGAAAACGTATCCCAGCTTTGTAGTAGTCTGTATGCTTAGACTTTTTGTCCGCCCAAGTAGTTAAGAGCAAGAAGGAAGCAAAAAGATTCCAAAGTGTAGCTACCTCCTTTCTTTACCACATTGTCTGGCTGCAGAGTGCAACTGAGCATTGAGCTTCTGCATTTCTAGCCCGAGGAGAGCACGAGCATTAGCAGAGGTCCCCGTGGCTGAGACATGGCTGTACTGCAGGAGGCAGGGCCAGCTGGGACTGCAGACAGCTATGCTGCTCTGGGCATCACATTTTGTGTGAGCCATCAATAAATAGCAGCAATCGATACGTGTGTTGGCCTACTGCCTACCTCATCCTCTGCCATCCCTCACTCAGACGCTGCTGGAGGTGAAGAGTTCAAAGGAATAGTTGGGTTCATTGCAGGCAGTAATGCACACCCTCAGCGTATCCACCACGCGGGCACATATCTCCATTTCATTCTGCACTTAACGCCAGCAAAACACATCTGACATTTCCCATCTGACCCTTGGTGAGAGTTCTGTTGCACCACAGTATGGGCTCATTAGGTGAGGCACACTGTGCAGCACCTGGCAGGCTAGTGAAGGGAAATAAAATATGTGTATCATACGGGGAATAGGAGGATTAGGCAGACACTGTATTATAATAGAATTATTAGCCAGCTGATGGAGATTTATTTTTCTAATGATGCCACCGGAGCTCTTAAAGTTGATGTCTGAAAGCTAAAAGGTCTCACAAAAGGTGCTTTTCCAAGTTAGGCAGCTAGCAAGGGCTGCTCTAAGGAACAAGGAAGCCTTAGAAGCAAAGAATGTTTTAAAACAGGATCATTAAATTTCTGAGGGTTTTAAGACAAAAGCCTTTGCCGTTGTGCTGCTGCAAATGAATTAGTTTTGTTTCATGTTCTCTCTGTTACTTTTTTTACTTAATTGCAAATCCAGAGGGTTCTCACAGTCTTCAAGTTTTTCTTTGCTAGGCATGTAAAAGATCAGTTATCTGATTTGCAAAAATAAGTACAACAAGGTATTCACTATAATTTCCCTTCATACAAACCATTCTTTGACATTTCCCAATTGAATCTATCTTTTATTCCTTCAGTATTACTAGTATTTTGGTGTGGCCATGCATTCCTTTAATGTCACTCTAAAATATCACTCAGTTACTGAATTCAGCATCTTCAAGAGTTTTTCTTTTTTCTTCAAATGCTTTATTCTTAAAGTTTGTATTTAAATCTCTGACATCCTGAGGTAAGCTTTCTTGAGAAGTTAACACATCTATTGCAATTTCTAAGCTCATGGTCTTCAGAAATACAAATTAACGTGGATTGCCAAACACAAATGAACATAGAAATGAAGGAGCTGAGGAGAACAAAGAAAACACTGAATGATAATTTCTGTCGAAAAAGAAGAAATTTCCTTCCTGCATAGCAAGGTTTACATCTGAAGCTGAAAAACAGACAGGCAAGAGGCATTCTAGAATGCCTCCAGTTTGAACACCTGCAGCACCTCGTCTTGAATAAGTCCCCCAGAAATAGTGTGAGCTTTAGTACTTTCCCAAATCTGAAGAGAGTTAGATATCTTCTGCTGTACAATTACATCTTTTTTATCTCTGCTGTAGGTGCAGTTGAAGGCTTTTGATTCCTTCCCTGCAGTCTTCATTCGAACTATCAGCAAGCCTTGAAGTGCAATATGGGTTTTCCCTATCTGAGAAATGACACAGAACGCCCCTCTATGTTCGTTGTCCCTATTCCGCCTCCATCTCAAGATGAAAGCAGAAAACATGATGAAAGCAAAGATTGTTTTCATTCATAAATGAACTAAAAGGGTCATTTCGGAGTCACTTTTGGGTTAGAAAATACTATCAGCATGTCAAATTCACTAAGTTGTGACCATCGTAATAGCTGATGCTATATTCTGATTGCAAATAGCTCCATTCAGAGGGACCAAAGCACCAGATTTTTAGGCCTTAGCAAATCGTATGTGCTTGTGGAAGAAGGGAGCTGAAGCTTCTCGGTCTGCAGCACAACAATACTGCCTTGGTCAAGTCACCCAGGACAAAATTTTTCATATTAGATTTTATCCCTGTACACCCAGATTGCGTACTGCTAAAATCCCAGTCAGGTACTGAAAGAATAATGCCAGTTCCAGTTTTGCCCATAACTGCTCTTTTTTTGTAATAAAACTAAGTGGCCAGGATATTTCTCTGTCCATTCCTCCTAAAGACTGATTAGCAAAAGAGTTGTAGGCTTTTCTCAGTATCATTTGCCATTCTGTTCAGAAGAACTCCTGCTTCTGGGAGAGTGTTTTACACTGAGCTGCCTCTGCAGGGATGGTTGTTTCACCATGAAAGCCTTACGAGAGAGGCATATTTTGAATGATAATCATTAACTTAATAGAAGGTTTTTGAAAAAAATGTGATAACTTCTGGCCTGACCTGTGTTGCTCTTTAGCCGTCAAGGTGACTGATGGCACTGGAAATAGTACTGGAGTTGAGATTCCCTTTGGGACCTCTCCCTGGAGGTTTTCAACATATCCTTCATTCTATTTGATAGCTAATTTTTTGAAAGGTGTAGGTGTGATGTTGTATGCAAACAAGAAAATTTAGTAATTGTAAAGAATAATTGTATCTTGTCTGGACAAATTTTATTCCTGCTGTAATCCAGTTAACAGGATTGGGATGTAAATGGGCAAATTTTTTTCCTCTTAAGTGGAATAAAAGTAAACTGAACCGTAAACCTGATCTTAATCCAAAGGTGATGATATCATGAACTAGTTCTGTATGTTTGAAGAAAGAAGCTGTGTCATCACTGGCAGCAAATTTAATGTTTAAAAAATTTTTTTCTTTGCAGATCCCAGTGGAATCCAGACCCTGCTTTGCATGAAGGACACATTGTCTCAGCACAAGAGCTGGCTGTACTTCTGCAACCTGTTTTTACTCCAAATCCCAGCAACCTTGTTTTGTTCCTTCAAGAGAGGGTATGTAACATTAATTCCTTTTCCTTTAGCAGTGCCAAGTGTAAGTCTGTATCTGAATGAGCTAATATGGCTCCTTCTCACCAATCTGCTCTCTGTTTTTCAGCTTAGCATAGACGATTTCACCTACTACAGTGAATCCTATGGTAACAAGAATCCATTTCAAAATGTTCAGGCAAGCATTTCTCTTTTACTTCCTTATATGCATGTTTTTTTAATTGAAAATTATGTAAGAAGGATGCAAACAGACAATATCTGGCAATATTAAACTGAACTGCAGCAGTTTGCCAATTTATTTATTGAGATTATTTCAGTTTCAGCATATGGGCTAAAGAAAAACAACCAAGTATGCAGAAATGTCTTTTGCGGCTATTTTATTTCAAAAAACAGGTTTTCAGAATTATCTTAACTGAAAAAAAATTGTTTCTAAGCATGTTGCAATTTTGAATAATGAAAAACTATGTCTAGACATAGACATAATTCCCAGACTGACACCCCAAAATAGTGTTTTAAAGCCACACAAAGAAAAGAAGTGAGGAATCAAGTATGTACTCCAGATTTTCAAAGCTGAATACTTATTTTATTTTCATGCAAAGTGAAGCTGACTTATCTCATCCAGACAGCTAATTTATTCCAAGAATCATAGAATATACTGAGCTGGAAGGAGCCCATAAGAGTCATCAAGTCCAGCCCCTGGCTTCACACAGGACCACATAAAAAGATGTGTGAGAGCATTGTCCAAATGCTTCTTGAACTCTGGAAAGCTCAGTGCCATGACCACTTCTCTGAGGAGAAGTTTCTCCAGTGCCTGAGCACCCTCTTGGTGAAGAATTTTGTACTGATTGCTAGCTTGAATTTCCCCTGTTGCAGCTCCATGTCATTCCCTGTTTGAATAGTGTGAATATATGCCTAGATACTGGATTGCTTTAATATTTGTGCTACTTCAGTAATCCAAAATAAACTCCAGGCACAGAATCCAGGCTGGTCATGAGCGTAAACTTCTGTTCGCAGTGAAGAGGTTTATAGATTTTTTGCTCAGTATCTCCTGGTTGTACTTGCTTGACAATTTATTGAATTGTAATTGGAAAAGGGAAGTGTTCACACTTGAAAATCATTAAGGCATTCCTGTGGGCAGTGCAGGAGGAACAGAGCTATTAGTAATATAACTTATATTGAAGCACACAAAGTGTTAATTCCTAGCTGTACGTACAATCAAATACATAAATATTCACATATTGCCCATCTCTTTATCTATACTCTGTGGGAACCTCACATCTTCATTGTATCCCTAATACTTACCTTCATCTCTTTGCCTTATGACAGCATTTTAACAACAATGCTGGAACAAAAACAACCGTTCAACGTATGGATTTTTTGAGGAATGAATGGGGGTAATATTTATATGTAGCATAAGGATTAGTGACTCCACCCTCAGGCAGATGTATTGATACTTCTCTGGAATGCTGTACTTTCTCCGGATTTCAAATCTATGCACAATGGCGTCTGAGCCAGTTTTGTGTTTACATAGTTGTAAAGCTGGTTTGATTTTATAATTAAGAAGCAGTGTATAAATGACTGCTGCAAGTCCCTAATGATGTAATGGTCTACATCCAGTGATCACACTTAAGTAAATCTTTGGTCTTTATCTGGCAGAAGAAAGTTTCGAATTCACATTCTCAGCAAGCTTAAAGATCATCTAATCATCCAGTTCCATCCTGAGTGCAACAAAGACTACATAAATATGCTCAGTAGCTATCACATTGGTTGTGCTCCAGTTGAGTTACTTTGGGAAAGAAATCCTTTCTTAATCATGCTATAAAAGACTATGGTAATATTCACAGAACAGTGGACAAAGAAAAGGTCAGATCTGGATTTTCTCACTGGCGAAATTAGAATCTTTCATGTTGCATAATCTGAAAGTTTTATAACTTCACAATCTAAGCTATACAAGTGATTCATTAAACTATTATAGATGTTCTGTAATACTCCAGTGTCTTCCTTTTAAACTTCAGCAATTCAAATTTATTCACAAACTTGAACTGGAGATCTCATTTAGAGAGTGTATATGCATGTAGCAGCACGTGTACTACAAAAAGAATGTAATATTTGTAAGAGTTATAGACATGTAAACCACATTTGCAGATATTAGATTTGTTCAGCTACATTAACGCTGTTTTGAACTTTTGGAATCAGTGGTTTTGTATGCAATAAAAGAATTCTATTTCCAGTTAATATAGAAAGGAATCTTGTAGATAGATCATTTATCTTAAATATCCAATAACTTCTTAATTAAATAATAAAGTACAAAGATTATCATTTGGGGATTTTTTTTTTGGTGTTAAGTAGTCACCTATTTTACAAACTGTTTTTCTTTAATATTAGCACTGGCTTTCCCCAGGCAATAACTGAACTTCGTAGAACTGCAGCATACAGTAGCAAACTACAATTAGTTGCCAGCTGGATGGCATAATTATTATTGTAAGTCATTGCCTACTGTGGTTCAGGATCTCCATCATATCATCATTCAGTAGTCATTTTTCTAGACTGTGGAGTGTTCAGTCACATTCAGCATAGAGGCCCTAACTGTAGTTTTGAGTCTTTGTTGCCATTCCATGTACCTCTTTTAGTTTTATGGTTTTGTTCATTTTTTGGGTTATTTCTGTTGACAAGGGAACATGCAGAACTGCATATGCATCAAGATATAGGTGCGTCATAATTTATTCAGTCTCATGATGATTTGTTCTGTTCACTCCTTAGTATTTTCCATGAAGACCTCCTAGTATTTTATTTTGTTTTGATGACTGTCAGCCACTGATCTGACATTAAGTTTCCTGTGTGAAGAATGACACTGAGTTCTCAATTCTCACACCTACCTTCAAAAAAACCTGAACAGTGAGATTTGCAAACAAATCATGGTGCTTCTTGCAGTATTTCAGTCACAAGAGGTCCTTCAAGGGACATTACAGAAGGCAAATTAATCTGAGCAATTTATCCATAGATACATTTAAAATTCTCTTGTCAGTGTAGGAATTTGTGCTATCTGTCATCAGGTCAATCGGAGGATCTTTTTTTCCCTATTTCCCATCCCAGCTACTATGTGGTTATACCTTTTTGTTTAGAAGTTTTACAAAATGCAGTGCCAGGTGTTTCTCAGTAGTCCTCTTCATTCTCTGTCCTCTTCTGGAGGTTTGGTATTTTGAATGCTCACGGTACTTGAAATGCTAGAACGCCTAAAGCAACATACTGGTATTTTAAGAACAAGTGTGCAGTGGTCAAATGTCAAGATGTATGTGATCAAAATGTCTGTCTGATGCTAATGAGGAAATATCCAGCTGTGTGTGCTCTTTGAATGGAAAATGGTTGAATTCAAGTGGCTGGAAGCTGAGACAGATGGCACTGCAGGATTGGTTAGGAGCAGAGGCACAGTTCAGACATTACTCAGTAATTATGCATTTTATCTCTTTTTCTATAATAAATGAGTAAACTGCTTAATATATATCCTTGGTAGAACTGGCTGCTGCTATTCTGGCTGCTGCTAAGCAGTGGAGGATTAAAATATTTTAAATAATAATAATACAAATAAATAAATAATTGACAATTGGACTGTTGCTCAGGATTTTAGCTATGAATTCATATATGCAAAACAAACTAAAAGGGAATATATCATCCTTTCCTTTTAGGAGGTGCTAAGCACCCTGCTCAAAGATTTGTAAATGAGATCAGTGTTTTCTGTTCTATTTTAGTTTCTGTACTTATTTTTCTATCAGTATGGCAAATCAGACAATACTACATAATCCTCCTGTATGAGCATCTATAGAAATGTGGAAATAACTAACCTTTACTTAGGAAGGAAAACATGCGAGCATTTAGAAAGGAACTGAGGAGGCCAGAAAAGTGGTAGGCAGTCAAAGAACAGACAAAAAGAAAAAAGAGTAGGAGGAGAAAAGTCTTAGCAACACCACAACACTTCCATCACTAAGTGGGAGAGTCTAACAACTCAGATATTTGAATGTTGGATCAAGTGACAGACTTGATCTAGGAGTTAAATATAAAAAATGTGAAAGCAAAGTTAACAAGTTGTAAACTAGAACTCAGGAAAAAAATCTTCAAATCTTCATATGAAATTTTGTGTACGTCAATTTTGATCCTTCTCAATTCTCTATCATTTATGTTCTTATCCAGAATTTTCCAAGCGTTTTTTATCATTTAGAAAAATCTTTGGGAAGCTGTTTTTCAGCTGTGCAGGCTTGAAATTTATAGAACGAGAATGATTAAAATGATTAAAACACTCAAGTGTTTTCATCAAAAACTCAGCTATGAGAATTATAAGTAATGGATATCCTGATGTTTCATTATCTGAGCCGGCTCGGCCTGAACCTTATAATTTGTGTTTTGAATGGATAGACAGAAAGCACACAATATTAAGTTTGTGTGTGCCTCAATACCAAGAATAATTCAGTTCACGTGGGAGGGAACTGAACTATAAAGGAAGTGTGTTCCAGTTTCTAACGTGAGGAAATTTTTCATGATGTCATGTCTGAATCTCCTCTGGTGCATCTTTGTTCTGTTCCCATGCATCCTATCATTGGATCCCAGAAGCAGAGCTTGGCACCACCTTCTCCAGTTCCCTTCTTCAGGAAGCTGTAGAGAGCAACGAAGTCACCTCTTAGCCTCCTCTTCTCCAGTCTAGACAGCCCAGGTGTCCTCAGCTCTCTTCTCACTGGACAAGCCTTCCAGCCCTGTCACCAGCTTTGTTGCACACCTCTAGATAATTTCAAGGACCTTAATATCTTTTCTAGATTGTGCAGCCCAGAACTGCACACAGTATTTAAGGCGAAGTAACGCCAACACTAAATATAGTGGGAGAATAATCTCTTTGGACCAGCTGGATATGTGTTTAATGCTTCCCCAAATGTGTTCTGCCCTCTTGGCTGTGGGGCATACTGCAGGCTCTTCTGAATCTGCTGCCATCAGCATTCCTGGATCCCTTCCTGCTGAGTCCTGCTCTGTCCCACGTGCAGAATCTGACGTTTTTCCTTTGATGAAATAACTTCATATCACTGCTGATAACTCAATGCTTCGATCTGTCAGATCCCTCTACAAGGCCTCCTGTCCCTCCAGGGAGCCAACAGCACCTCCTAGTTCAGTGTCATCAGCAAACATACAGACAATGCATTCTACTCCTGCGTCCACACCATTGATAAAAATATTGAACAGAACTGGCCCTGGAATTGAGACCCAGGGTACACCACTAGTGACCAACTACCAGCCCATTCACTACAACACATCGAGCATTACCGTTGGAACAGTTCATCACCAGCATAGAGTAAACCTGCTATCTCACAGTTGGATGAAAGGCAGAAGAATGCCATGAAGGATAGTATCAAAGGCTTTCCTAAAATCTAGAAGTATTGTGTCCACGAACTTCCCTTCATCACCAGACAGATAACCTTACCATAGAGGACAGGACTTTCCTTTCCTGAACCCATGCTGACTGTACCTGGTAATAGCTTTGTTCTGTAGTTGCCTTTCTTCAACCCCCAGGTTAATTTTCCCCATAACTTTTCCAGGCATTGAGATAAGATTAACAGGTCTTTGCTTTCCTGGGTCTTCTCTCATACTCCTTCTGTAGATGGGTACGGCACTGGTATTGATTAGCTTCCAGTCAGTGAGTACCTCACCAAATTCTTACAACCTTTGGTAAACTGAGAGGGATTCAGTTATATGATCTGCTAATTCCTTCATCACTCTAGGTGAATCCTGTCAGACCCCATGGACTTGTAAACACTGAACTGTTACAACCGATTCTTTACAAAGTCACTTCTCCCCAAGTCACAGTGTTCTGACTAACTCTGAGGTCTGGGCAGCCCAAGATTTGTTGTTATCGTTAAATACTGAAGCAAAAAAAGGTATTAAATGCCTCCTCATTTTCCTTCTCGTTCTTAGGTGACCATCAGTTCCAAGAATCAGTCCAGTGTTTTCCTTTGACCTCCAGTTTCTGTGGGGATAACTGAAAAAGCCTAATTTGTCTGCCTCCACAGTGGCAGTGTCAACTGAGCTTTGGTTTTTCTTCTTTTCCCCCTGCAAATGCAAACTGTAGCTCTGTACTCTCTCTATGAAGCTAGACCTTACTTTCAGAGGTCATACATTTTTTTTTTCAGACCTTGTTCATAGAATCATAGAAATACAGAACGGCCTAGGTTGAAATGGACCTCAAAGATCATCTAGTTTCAGCCCCCTGGCTGTGGGCATGGTTGCCAACCACCAGACCAGGCTGCCCAGAGCCACATCCAGCCTGGCCTTGAATGCCTCCAAGGATGGGGCATCCACACTTCCTTGGGCAACCTGTTCCAGTGTGTCACCACCCTCTGTGTGAAAAACTTCCTCTTAACATTTAACCTAGACTTCCCCTGTCTCAGTTTTAAACCATTCCCCTTTGTCCTATCACTAACCACCCATGTAAACAGTCGTTCCCCCTTCTATTTATACGCTCCCTTCAAGCACTGGAAGGCCACAATGAGGTCTCCCTGTAGCCTTCTCTTCTCCAAGCTAAACAAGCCTGGTTCCCTCAACCTTTCCTCACATGAGAGGTGCACCAGCCCACTGATCATCTTAGTGGCCCTCCTCTGGGCTTGTTCCAAGAGTTCTGCATCTTTCTTGTGCTGGGGGCCCCAGGCCTGGACACAGTACTAAAGTAGTTTCAGGCAGAGTTCCTTGTTTAGCTAAGCCAGTCTTCTGCTCCGCTTTCTTGACTTGTGATACAATGAGATTACATGCTCGTGGTGCACTTTTAAGAAGTGGTTTTTGAAAAGCAGCCAGCTGTCCTGGGTCCATAAATCCTCTCAAGCAGATCCCCGACGCACAGTGTGAACTAGCTCCTTGGATGCTTAAGGTTTGCTCTCTTAGAGTTCATGCTGACAACTCTTGTGTAGATTCTAAAATATGCAGATTTATCTAATTAATAGTTAAAATTAGACATCTATCTGTACTGCGTGCTGTACCACTAGCATGTACACAAAGGAAGGTAGTTTGTTAGGTGAAGTATGACTCCCTACTAACTAGAACTGATGGAATGTGAAATTTCCAGCATTGATGTTTTTCACCTAAGAGGCCATTTAGTTCCTGTGTGATGGTCCTCTGATGCCTCATCCTTTTGCCTCATATTCTCCAGTATACTCTCCATCTTCTTCTTCAGCTTGAGAACTTCTACACCAGCTGCCTCTCCTTTTCCATTACACTCATGGAAAGGACAGTAAGATTTTGAGGTCACAGTGTGTCTTAAGCTTGCTCCAAAACAGTGCAGAAGTAAGAGTGATGGAGATGTCAGTTCACTGCACCTTTCCAGGAGCAGCCTGCAGCCAGCATCTGGCTGGTGAGTGCTCATATAGTGTTTACCATACTGTTTTCTCACCTTGAGTATTAAATGAAGGATAGAGAAAAGAAATAGTTTGTGTTTAGTATTAACTTATTAAATAAACTGTCCATAAATTTGTTACAGGAAATTCTTCAGTCTTCTCCTTCATCTTTAGTTTTGCCTGCTGTTGACTGCAAGGCTACCAGGGATCTTTTGAACTTTCTTCAGGCATCAGGAGATTGGAATTTGAAAAACTTGACAAATCTTGATATCTCTCAGCTGGAAGTGAATACATCTAAACCAAACTTACTTGTAATTCAGCTACAATCACTTACCAGGTAGGACCTTGTCACAAACACATTGACCCAAATGTATGCATTTTCAAAATATCAAAATTTTTCAAAATATCGGTTGTGTTCAGGAAACTTAAAAATCCAAAGAGTAGTTTATAGAGTTAACAAAGTTATTTTTCCAGCAAATGTGAATTCAGTGTTTTTTAATGTCCTCTGATGAGGTATAATAATTGAATTACATTGAGAAAGTCATTCAGGCATTACTGTTTTGTCTGCTTCATTATATGAGAACAAAGGGACAACTAATAAACTAAATGGCAGCACTCTTTAAGCAGAAAAGCTGAATTATTTTATGCAACATGTGATTAACCTGCTGAATTAATTGCTAGAAGACATTCCAGGGGTCAAAGAACTGTCAGGAAAGATAAACAAATAAACATCCAAGCATCCTAGAATTTAATGTGAATAATGAGACTAGTTTTTATCAATCTTAAAGGAATAGGAAGGCTATAAAGCTTCCTGTTTCCTGACCTGTAACAACTGCTGCCTAATGGAGGTAGAGTCTGTCCCTTCAGGTGAATGCTAGTGCCTGGCTGTTACACCACTGGGGGTTGTCTGGTATAGAGCTCTCCTGGTCACTGGGTGTGGGTCATGGAGCTGATCTAGATTGATACCATCAAATGCAAGGAAATCTGGGGAGAGGATGGTCAAAAGAAGATCAGTAGTCTGTCTTCTCTGCAGCTAAAGAGGTCTGAGGTGTTGGAGGAATCAGCTAAAGATGTGGTCCTCATATGAACTGCTTTGCAGAAGGAGAAGTTCATAAGGAGGAGATGAGAAAAAGAAGAAAAAAACGTTGTAGTCTGCTGAAAGTGACATGCTGATTAGTATGTACCTGTATACATTTCTGATTCACACTGTTGTATAGCAAAAAAATTTAATTATCTTTCTCCCACTTCTTTGTAGTGATTTAAATGAGATTTCCACCCTGGAAGCAATTGCTGAAAATGGTAAGCAATATAGTCAGGATGTAACAAACATTTCACCACTTAAGTCTCTTTTTGCTTGAACAGATTGTATTTCCTGTTTTTTCCAGATTTTGTTGTAATACTGTTTAAAGCTTTTTCTGCCTTCTACATACCTATAAGCAGCCAATTATCATCCTGTTGAAGTACTGAGTAATTCAAAATTCACTGAAATGGATACATCTCTGTGCCCTGAAATGTGGTGATGATTCACCTCTGCCATAGGCATCCCAAATCCCTACCATAGGCATGACACCTCCCACCAGATCAGGCTGCTCAGGGCCCCATCCAACCCCACTGAACACCTCCAGGGATGAGGCATGCACAGCTTCTCTGGACAACCTATTTCTGTGCATCACAGTCTCTGAGTAAAGAATGTCTTCAGAATATTTTAAATCTACCCTCTTTTAGTTTAAAACCATTACTGTTCAGTTCTTCCTTCTTGTCTCCAAAAACCCTGGATTAATGTTGGCCTTGGCTAAACATTACCTTCTTTTTTATGGGACATTTTGTTCATCACCTGCACAAGCACAAGAGCAGGCCTCCCAGTCCCTGCTTCAGGCTGCTTTTGTTTTGGAACAGCAAAGTTAAAGGGAGACCTTTGGAATGATGCAGGAACAAGCTATACCAGCTTTGTGGTTAGTGTCAACTGCCTGCTATCAGGAAAAAGGTGTGTGGATTGTGGAAGATGTGTTGCTTCATATGGCCAAGTGCAAAATCTTCACACTGTGTTCAGAGTTGCAGTTATACTCTAGAAAAGTGATAATGTGGGCTAAATAATCACATTCTGGCCATTGAACACATTGCTGAGTAGAACCTGCAGATATCATCAGCAGTAAGTTTTAATTCACATGCAAGTTGCTGAGCTGCAGTTCCTTAAAGTTATCCTACTTGAAGTCTGTGCAGTGGAAAGGACAGACTTGGGTGGGTCATTGCAAAACTGCCAGAGAAGGGTCCCAAATCATGTGGTCAGGCAGGTATGGGTGTCCAAGCACCTGCTGCAGCATGAGCATAGCCATTTGCAGAATACTGTTGCCAGGACATGTGTCAAGGTCATAAGGGCTTGTAAGGCCATGAGTTATTGGTGTTTGTTAGGGAGTGAGTGCTGCTAGCACTGTCTGGATAAGCAACCAAAAACGCTGTGTGTCACATACCTGTAATGTGACAGGAGAATTGTTAACCGGTACAATGCTGCTTGTAATTTTTGAACAGTATTAACTGCAAACCCTTAGTAAATGAAGGCAGATCTCTATTATGCTGCCTAGAAGTTCACAAAGACTCTTATGTTTGTCACATCAACTTAATTCCTTTCTGCTGTAGAGGGTTTTAAAATCTGCTGTAATAAGACGTCAGAGAAATCTCTCCTGCTGTTTTACTCACTGCAGACAGCAATCTCTGTCAGACAGAGCAAATGGGCTCAGATTCTGCCCAAAGGAAATGTGCAGTTCTGAGCACTCTAGAAGCTAGAATAAGCAGGAGTTTTAACACATCATTAAAATGAGACTCATTACAAAATCCAAACTGGAATTCAGAATTCAAACCTGCTTAAAGTTCTGCAGATTCAGAATTATCTCCAGTCTCTCCCTTCGTACATGCACAGATAGACAGATATTGAGTAATTTCTATAAAACAGTTGCTAGAAATACTATTTCTTTCTCTCTCTCTCTCTTTTTTTTTTATTATAACAAGGTTTTTAGAGAATGAATCCTCCCTTCTCAGCCAGACTGTACATTTCTTCTGGCTTTTTGCTCTGCATTTGTGTGTGTGTGTGTGCACGCTGTTTTTCAGTATTTCTTTCTTTCATTTGCATGAAATTGAGATTGTTACTCAGGTTTTGCTAGTTCTTCTAAATGCTTCTCTGCTCAGGAGAAGGTTGAACTGTGCCTTATCAGTCTTATCTGTTGTGTGCAGTGTACCTCAGAATTAATGTCAAAACTGCTTGTGACTCTGTGTGTAAGATGAGGCTCTTTAATTCTTTTGTGTGTATTCTTCTTTCTGCTCTGATTCTCAGTTTATCCCTTATGCCACTCTCTCCCATTCTCCCTCCATCTTGCTCTATTCTTTTCTTTCCCTCTTATCCATAGTGTATTCTTTATTTCTTTTTCCTTCTCTCCTTCCAGAACATTGCTTCTCAGTTCCTCTATCCTTTCCATCCATGTATAAAAGCATGCAACGAAAGTAAAGTAGATTAGAAATTAATAACAGCACTAATCCTGCAGTCCCTGGTGAAATTCAGGGGACATGTCTTCAATGAGACGGAAAGGTTTAATCCTTCCACCAGAGCATAGCATGCAATTAAGCTAACTGCAGAGAGTTATCCTGGACAAACTGTTTCACATTCATAGACCTACACAGTGTTCCTTTGATTCATACTGACTAAAATACCTGCAATAATGCCACTCTAAAATCCCTCTAACATTAATATCACCATCTGGAGATGCCTCTTTTTACACTACAGATGGAGGCTGGATTAACTAATTCCCGTGTAGGCAAGCAGTTTCAGTACTTCAAGATAGAGTGGACAAATCTTGACCATTTTCCTGGGAGATCTGCAAATACTTCATTAGCAAGGTATCTGGCTTGGGAGAATCTTGATCACATAAAAACAAAGGTCTATTTCAATTTTACTGTGAATGAATGAAGAAATTTCCTCTAGAATCTTCCCAAAGGCCAAAGTTGTAGATTGTAGCGGTAACTATAGTTACATGTAGCTCCTTAGTGAAGCAGAATGTAAATAGTGTGTTATTTCATAAGGCAATCAGTTGTTTTAATGGAAGAAAAAAACCTCACAATCTGTGCATTTTTCAATGCAGTATTTTTCTGGCTGAGGCTGCTGAGAATTTCTGATGAACTACCCTCAGTGCATGTAGATTTGCATACTAATCTACATTACGTAATTCCTTGAACAACTACACCCAGTATAATTTCACTAGTAGTGTGTAGGCACTTGATTTTCTGACCAAGTCTGCTTCTTATTTAATAGTACATGTTTTTAATGATAAGTTTTTAGAAGGAAACTTTACACAGCTATGATTCTTGACTGACACGAGGAAATCAGCTTGCAACCAAGCTGTTATGCAACCTTACATAAAAAAATAATACTTATATTTTCACAGAAGGTGAAAATTTTACTCAGCCAGGAAGCCATATTCACAACTCAGATGGTTGTGATCAGTGGCATGATTTGCAGTTAGAGACTTGTAGCTGGAGGTGTTCCCCAGGGGTCAGTACTGGGTCCCTTCTTGTACAGTTTCTTCACTGATGGCTGAATGAAGGGATAGAGTGCAACCTTAGAAGGTTTACTGATGACATAAATCCAAGATGAGTGGTTAACACACAAGAAGGCTATGCTACCAATCAGTGAGACTTGAACAGGCTGGAGAGTTGGATTGAGAGGAGCCTGATGAGGTTCAACAGGGCAAGTGTAGAGTCCTACACCTGGGGATGAATAACCGCCATGCATCAGTACAGTTTAGGGGCTGACCTACTGGAAAGTAGCTCAGCAGAGTACGGCCTGAGTGTGCTGGGGGACAGCAGGTTTTCTATGAGCTAGCAGCATGCCCTTATGGCCAAGAAGGCCAGTGGTATCCTGGAGTGCATTAAAAAGCGTGGCCAGCAGGTCAGCAGAGGTGATCCTTCCCTCTTCTCTGTCTTGATGAGGCCACATCTGGAGTACTGTGTCCAGTTTTGGGCTCCTTGGGTCAAGAAAGAAGGGGAACTACTAGAGTGAGTCCAGCAGAAGGCGACAAAGATGATGTTGTGTCTGGAGAATCTCCCGTATGAGAAAAAACTGAGTGACTTGTGACGTGGGGCTGTTCAGCTTAAAAAAGAGAAGGCTGAGAGAGGACCTTGTCAACACTTACAAGTATCTGAAGAGCGGAATTCAAGTGCATGGGGCCAGCAGTGGTGCTCAGCAACAGTACAAGACACAAAGGGCACATGTGAGCATGAGATAAACTTCTTCACTTTGAGGCTGATAGAGTACTGGAACAAGCTGTCCAGGGAGATTGTGGAGTCTGTTTCTCTGGAGATACTCTAAACCTATCTGGATGCTTTTCTGCGTGACCTACTCTAGGGAACCTCCTTTAGTGGCTTGTTGGACTAGATGATCTCCAGAAAGCTCTTCCAAACCCTGCAATTATGGATCCTGTGAGTCTATGTGATTCTGTAATTTAAAGAGCTTTAAAAGGCTAATAATATAAGCTTCACTTCCAATATGTGAAAATAAAATATAATTTCTGTAAAGTGTAATGTTGTAATCTGAGAAACCTGCTTGTACAGGCTGTGTAATAGCCATTCACTAGAATATTATGTGGATGAGTAGTGGAATGGCACAGAAACAGTCTGTGTCAGTCTGCTGGTTTATTTCTTCCTGTGTCCTAATGGCAATTGTGATATCAGTTCTTGAATCACAATTGTTATGTTCCTCATCATAAGTAGATGTTAATATTTCTGCATACAAGTTGAAAACATTTACTAATTCTAAGTATTTGTCACAGCTGCCTGTCATTTCAGAGCTAAAAGTGAATTTTCTGCAGTTTTTTGGACCACACTAAGAGGTTCTCTCTTCCTTCTTTGATTTTCCTTCCTTTTTCAGAAATATGTCAGTGCATTTCTATCTTGCTATCCACTGTAGTCAATAGCAAAATTTTCCATTCTGTACTCTGTTGAGAGTAGAGAATCAGGCTTTAAATCCACTGAAGCAAAAAGGAATGGCACTGCCAATATTATACATATCATGTCCCAGACTAAGTACTGCTGCTATTTTGAATATTGCTTCTCAGTGATCTGTTGTTCTGTGTGTTTTGTAATTCACAGCCTGGTACTAGTTCTGCTTTATTAGTTATTTATTTATTAACTGGCCATTTGACTGACAGGGTATACATCGTGCTCTCATCTCTTGATGGGTTTATTCTTCTCTTGCATTGAATTTCTCAAACTTCTATGTTTCAGGTATTATTTTTCTTGTATTTACTTGTCAGCTTCAAAACTACGTATCTTTTTTTCTGAACAGCTTTAACATATTTGTTTTTGTATTGTCTCACTGAGTTGTTCATTTTTCAGGACACTGAACACGTCTTATCCCATTTGTACCTACTGACGTATGAATGGTACTAGCAACTAAATTACATAAATAAACTAAATAAGCTTAAACATCTAGCTCATTACTTTGCCAGCTACTGTAGGATTATAGCTTCCTCAGCATACAGCATTTGTTAAATTATACATGTTTCTATTTATAGACAAAATAATTGGAAGACTGACCAGGGATCTGCAGGAACGAGGGATTCATTTTTCAGTAATTTATACTGCAGTAAGACCTTCAAGGGTGAGTAATCTTCAGTGCCTAGAACTGTCAAGTGGTTGTCATCTAACAACTTAATGTTTACAGAAGAATGATGTAGCTGATTTTCAAGATTACACATGCAAGCAATCTGTATTATATGAGGTTTCGACCAGAAATGACTCCATGAGTTTTCATATGCAATAGCTGTATCACAAAACTACTAAAATCATAGAATCATAGAATCACTCAGGTTGGAAAAGACCTCAAAGATCATCAAGTCCAACCAAGACCTAACCATACTACCCTAACTCTAACAACCTTCTGCTCAATCATGTCTCTGAGCAAAAAAAAAGATCTAGGAGGCTACACGTTTACAGTGTCTTTAGTTGTCCTTACAACTTATTTTTAGTGACTATAATGTTTAACAGTTTTTTAATAGTTTTATAGTAAGTTTTATGTGGAGCATTATTAGGCTTTTTCAAGTCAGAAAAGATGGAACATATTTAATTAACTGAGGGCTGCTAATTTAGTCATTTTTAAAGTAACTCGTTTAATTCCCTTTAGTCAGTATTTATATTTACAACTGGAACACAAAGTTTCCATCACCATTGCTGATCGTCAGAACATCATATATAGATCATCCTATCATGTTAACAGTAAGTAGCAGTGCAGAATAGTTACTTGCATTATCTGTTTTGTATGACATGCAGGCTGTCTTGAAGCAATATTTACATTTTAATGTAATTAAAAGACTTGAGGAAAACAATGCAGTTCCCTCTCAAGAGAGGCGTAGGGGGGATGTGCTGTATCCCATAAAGTAGCCACTTTGAATGAAAATTATCTGATCCAGTAGATAATACAACTGAGCTGCTAATACAGTACTTAGTTTAGTTTTTTAATTCAAGCTCAGGATAATGCCAGTTGAAAATACAGAAGTTATAATTTTCTTGGGCTTGGGAACAGGAAAGTAATTACTGAGATTGTGTAGATCTCCAGGCAGGATCTTGAGAAGCTGGAAGGTTTTCAGGAGGGAACACAACAAACACTGTGAATTTTTTGTAGCCCAAGAATATCTAGAAAACCTGCTTTACATGGGTCTGATTTCTGTTTAGCTCACCCGAAAGAAGAGTAATGGGAACTTGTCTGCACTTCATAAATGCTCTTTTTTTTAAAGCCAAAATTGGATGGGTTTCTCAAAGCTGTCCTGGGTTTGATCAGAAATAACCTGTGTTTTTGCAAGGAAGTAGCATATTAAACTTCCAAGCTAGGTAGTCAGAATAGTCCCTTCAGACTACAGGCAAAAAGCTACTGCTACTGAAGAAAAACAGAACTTTCTTCAATCATCCATCCTGTAAACTTCACTTCCAGAGGCTTAGTTTTCAAGACTAGGGTTAGAACACATAGACATCAGACAGAGCAGCATGGGGAAGGTCACGCTGATACTCTTGTGATGTGCATTTCTTGTGGACAGGAGAGGGTAGGAGTTCTGGATTTCCATTTCCTTTTTTTCTTTTTTTCGTTTTTTTTCAAATACTGCATTTTTTTCTTTTGATGAAGATATAACAAAAATTATTCAGTTATTATGTCTTTTTACTCTTGAAATCAAAAGGGGCATGGGCAATGGGCATTCTTAGCTGAAAGCTGCATTTAGAACAATTAGAATGAAAAATACTTTTAATTAATGAAAGAATTGGTATCTAGAGGAGGAATTTTTAGAGTAATTTTAAAAGTTTGTTGAATTTTAAAACTATGCAGATTTCAAAAGACTTGCTAAATTAAAGTGACTTAGTTTGAGCAACTGAAGCACTTTTAAATAATTAAAGCAATGTATTTTAGATGTTCTGCATTTTAAAAACTAAGCAATTTAAACTTTTCTTAATTCTGTGAATTTAATACCATATAAAACTATTGGAAGCATTTTTACACAATTACTTTAAGTTATTACAGTCCATTCACAGTTATCAACTTCTGTTCAGGGCTAGGGCAGTCAAAATGGAAAGTGCCTTTCAGGGTTCATCTGTCTGCATTTGCATGTAACCTCTTCTTAGTATGTATTAGTTATCTTTGGTGTGGAAGATGTGAACTGTTTTGCAGCCATATCTTAGAGGACTGATTCCCTCTGCTTAAACTGTAGGCACCATATTCAGTGATCTAGCAATTAGAGAGTCACTCCCAAGTGATAACTGAAAACTCAGTATGAGAAGTAAAGGGCTTCCATTGTGTGGGAAAAGATTTCACATTACTCAGTACATTTGAAAATCAATACCACTCATTTCCTATAAGAGATTTGCGTTTGCTAAGTGGGCTTTTTTTTATGCTGATGAGGAAAATGAGCTTTAAGCATGACATTCTCAAGAATGAGGGGAAAAAAAAAAAAAGATCTCATTTTGATGGGTTAAATTAATTTTATGCAATGAAGCTTCCAAACTCTGAGGTTGTAAGATATTTCTGTCTTAACAACTATACCGCTGCTGCTGGACAGTTACTGGCTTCATAGCATCTTCTTGTTTCATTCATTCCTTCTTCCATTGCCTAAAGCAAAGAAAAATAAATGTGAAAAATGCATATATTGGAAAAGATTCCAGACTGGTATTGGCTTCGCAGAAAGTGAATTAGTGCGAAAGGAAGCAAAACTCTCTGATGACTAAGTCCCTATTCTGATTTGATGAGGAAGAGCTGTTCAGTTTAGTCAGTAGACACAGATCCCTTTGGACTATCTTAGCTATCAGTTAATAACCCCAATGCATGAAGGAGATTTATTCCACCTGGTTCCTGTTCTGTTCCAGTTTCAGAACCTGAAGCTGGGAGACAGAATTAAGACCTTGAAACAGAGTCTGTTTGAAACATGGAATGGTTTCGCTGTTCAGTTGCTGTGGTATAACTGAGCTGCCTTCCTCCAACAAGGCAAGTGCCACATCTTGTGACCCTTCTCAGATGCTTAGCCCTTGAGGTCTGGCTGAGTTGGGCTGGCACTGAGAGACTGGTTTGTGTCATCTAATTCTAGACGAGTGAACTGTAAATGTCATCAACCAAGGCTCTTTTTACAGTCAAAGAGTCCTGACTGAAATGGTCCATTTAGGGTGTATTTCTTTTGCCTCTTGTAGATGATTGCTAAAGGATGAGAGGAAATGCACCCTTTGTCTCTGACAAGCATCATGGCAATCGACGTGCTTAGGTCAAATTTCAACATAGGTGTTTAGTCGGGCAGCACTTGTTGAGCAATAGCTTTAATATAATTTTCCATTAAAAAGCAGAAGCTTGTTTCAAGAGTTGAGGGGTCTCTTCCCAAGACCTTTCTGTTCCATAAAACTTAGATGATTGGTTGCTTAATTTCTTTGGGAGAATTATCCCCCTCCACAGTCCTGGTTCCACTCTTGCATCAGGAAGTCATCTTCCCTCCAGAGGGAGCATTTCCTTTCTTCCCCAGTTCCTGTGAAGACTGAGATGCTGGGAATGGTGGAGTACTCTCAGCTGGAGAATCAGGACAAGATGTGCTGGCCTAAACTGCCGTGCACTGCTGTCTCCTGTTGGAGCAGGGAGTTCTTTATTGTTTCTGAACTCTCTCAGAATTGTAGTGGAGGAGGACGGGAAGAGCTGGGATTCACTCTATGTATTGATAGACTGTGCTGCATATCTCTGCTGGTTTGTCACCACCAAATCTTGTTCACCAAGGAAATTACTTCCATGTTCTCTCGTGAAAGTTTACAGAATCCTCATGCCAGTATCATAAAGGGGCTACGATCAGGTTTAGCTTACTTTAGGTCTTGAATGTATGAATTTTTAGTGGTTTTGGGAGCTGTGGTCAGAGTCACCCCTCCTCCTTGTGCTGACTGCTAGCTAGTTTTTTTGGCTTGCGTTTGTAAACATGAAATTGCTTGTTCAGTTGTAACTGGAATGGTTAGAAAACTGTGGTGACTGAAAGATAGGTATGCCTCAAATTGTGAATCTCATAATGTTTCCCATCCTTCAGGTCTTTGTGCTGTCCATGCCAGTTTTTTACAAGTTTGCTTCTGAAACTTCTGCAAGACAGTTTTATAGTTTCCTAGGATTGAATTCTGAAGAGATGCATATTGCCAAAAGGAGGTTTATGGCTACTTCCCACCTGATGCTCATTTTGTTGACACCACTTTTTACAGATGCATTGTGAAGTGCTGTTCAAACCTCCTCTACTGCCTCCACATTTTCAAAAAGTTGCATCTCCCGTGGGCTTTTGACTGCTTCACTCTATGAGCTGTCAGCTGTAGATAGCATCTAAGCTTCTTGTGTCTTTGGTCCCACAAAGAGACAAGCAGTCTGAACTACAAGACCAACCATAAGTAACATGGGTAGCACAAATGGTTGACTCTTCAGAAAGTCTCTTCAAGGTGTAGATCCTCAGGTGATACAGAAATCTAAACTTCAGTTTAGAAAGAGTTGGAAAAGGTTTTATCTTCTTTGGCAAGTATCTGTGGTTGTATTTTCTTTGTTTCTGCTTTTTACTTACTGCATTTTTTTTCAAGTGCATTTTGCAGTGCTGCATCTTCTACTGGCATGCAGCTCCTCTCTTTCATTCACCATGCTGAGGAGACTAAACACTGCAACCCCACTGACTTCACAGCTTCTGATTAATGAAATGCTTTAAATTGTTAAATATAATGAAACATTATAATGGGAGCTTTTCTGCGAACCAAATGTTGGAAAAGTGCTTATAATACCACTTACTGAAGTTGGGGTTGTAGGGTAGATGCCCTCATGCATCATTAAATAGGGGAAGAATCTTAATCATTTACTTTTGTATTTTTCACATTTGAAAGAGCAATTATAGATTGACATAGTATAATAAAGCATCAAGGCTTCCAACATAAAAGAAGAAACACATGAATTCTTTATCCTTAAGCCTTCTCCCTCTCTTTATAATTCCATTATAATAAAAAATAAACTTTAACTTGTAGATGAAGAATATGCACTTAATTATTTCCCAGCTAACTCAGTTTTTTTCAACTTAGATGAGGTAGAGTCTTTTTAAATAATTACAGAAGAACTGCTTAAGGCTGGTTGAAGCC